CTTAAAAGCACGTATCAGAACACATAAAACTGCAGAAGTTTATGTCGTAACAAACATCAAATTGGATATTAGATTGTCAGCAAAGTCCTCAACATTATTGATTTTGTGATCCATCTGTGATCATCTCAGAGACAGTTACCTCTGGACACTGTGGATTTATTTTAAACACGGCATAAAATCTATAAATTGTCCTTCTTTAGACAACTGTGACTCTGTGGACATTAAGGCAGATGTCAGGTTTGTCAGCCTGTTCTCCTGGAATTAAACATTTAACAAACATGAGAGTGACCTGATCATAACTGAAATAAAACTAATCAACATGGAGTTTTAGACACATAAAAGACACTGATCAATTAACAGCCATTTGTCATGTTGTCATTGGTGGCACTGATGGAACATACCAATCATAGCTAGCATCTAATGTTGGAGATTATGTGCGTGAGGATGACTGTTGTGCAGCTGAAGCAATTTTAAGATTCTAAAGCTAAAAGTGAGTTTCTGAATATTGGCTAGCTGTATGCTCTTAATGTATTCCGTCTTTCATGTTGAAACACTTATACAAGTTGAACTATAGTCATTAAACAGTGCTCAGTTTACAAGCAGTTTTATCCTTTAACAGTGTGAACTTACACATCTCTTTCTCTAGTCTTGCTAATTAGGATAAATGTCAGGGTTGAAACCAGGACACGCTTATATTTTTAGGTCTACTGGATTAAAATGGAGGCTCCACTCTTTACCCGTTGTCATGTTGAATCATAGTATTGGAGCTCCATTGATGATTGCCTCTGCACGTGCGCAGAGTGAACACACAGAGTTGAATCAACTCTGATAAGCGATTCTGTTTTCTCTGTTCTTTAAAAGTTGATGTCCTTCCAATCAAAATCATTGATTCATGTACAACAAAGGAACACTATGTTATCCATTCATTATCTATGCACCACTTAATTCTCACTTGGGCGAACACAGGGGACACCCTGGACAGGGCCACACTTAGAAACAGACAACCAAGCACACTCACAGTCACACCTATGGACAATTTAGAATCATCATTTTTGGAGAGCCCGAAGAGAACCCACGCTGCATGGGTGTCCTCACCGGTACGCAAACCGGCGACCTTCTAGCTGCGAGGCAATGGTGCTAACCACCGGGCCACCTTGTTATCATGTTTGCAAAGACTACAAAAATCATAATCATCATAATCATAATGACAGATACACTATCAATCACACAATAAATCATTTCACAATTCAATGAAACTCACACCATCTGAATGTTACAGTGGTTAAAAAACAAAACAAAAAAACTCTTTCTTTTGAAGGACCGTCCAAGAGAAGTAAAGCATTACAAAGGTTTGTATTGTCATAATCAAATGTCATGTTAGCTAGTGTAATACAAGTACTGAAGATAAAGAACATGGACAGAAGGTAGATAACAGTTATGACAAAGGAAACAAGTGGATGAGAAAACAGGAATTTGCTTCACTAGTGCTGAACCAGTGTGACGGTTACTCTGCCCTCCCTGATGTTTGAAAAGTGCTGCTTGAGCCTAGTCAGCGGCGTCTTCTCTGTCTTGCCCAAATACAGCAGCTAACAGGTGTGACAAACAATGCAATACACCAAGTTTTTCGCTTGGAAGGGTATACCTTCTCATAACTGGAGCACCAGCTCCCCCATGTGGATCAAACAGAACCAGTAAGTATGGCTCCTTGGCTCCTCTTGGCTGCTCTCTCCTCAAGATAAATCTTTATATTTGAGACATCCTTTATGATGGCTCGACTGATGTAGGGTCGTAAGCTGGATGACAAGAGACTGAGGAGACAAGCAGGCACAGAATAGTGAAATAAAATTAGCCTATTGTTCTCCTAAATGGCAAGCTAGCATGGATGTACAAGGAGATATGAGTGGCCACACACCCTGGCAATCATGACTTTTTAGTGTGTCATTTCCCTAGTTTGTCTCTCACATTTCCAACCTATCTATATTGTGCTATGTCAAATAAAGGTAAAAATGACCCCCCAAAAAATCCAGCAACCATTATGAAAGCGACATCTGTAAAACAGCGAACAGAACTGATTTTCATTCTTAGTATGATGGATGTTTTTAATCCATCCATCCATTGTCTCTACACCGCTTAATCCTCACTAGGGTCGCGGGGGGCTGGAGTCTATCCCAGCCAACTTAGGGCGAAGGTAGGGGACACCCTGGACAGGTCGCCAGTCTATCACAGGGCCACACATAGAGACAGACAAGCAAGCACACTCACATTCATACCTACGGACACTTTAGAATCACCAATTAACCTCAACATGTTTTTGGACTGTGTGGGAGGAAGCTGGAGAACCCGGAGAGAACCCACGCTGCACAGGGAGAACATGCAGAAAGATTCCGGTGCCTCCACCGGGACGCGAACCGGCAACCTTCTTGCTGCGAGACAACAGTACTACCAACTGCGCCACCCTGCAGCCTGTTTTTAATCCATTAAGTTTTTAATTTTTTATTATTTTTTTTTAAATTTCCACAAGTCTATGGGCTAAGCAGGAATGCACATGCATGATATTTAGTTGGGCCACACGACACAGAAGCTACAAAATTTTTTTTTTAATCATGCTCCAAGCAAGCAGTTTTCATTCAAGTAAGTGGAATCCATCTAGTATCTAGTCTGGTATTTCACATACATGCTTGCTATTATGTCACATTGACCTGAAAAAGCCTCAAAAAGTTAATTTTTGGGGTAAAGTCAATAAAAACTTTTGATTATCAGATCATACTGGAGAGTCTATGCATGCATTTTTATGTCCCTTGACTAGAGTGAGAGCACAGACTGTATATGAATTTTCATAGTATATTTTATCACTATATTTATGGAGTGCATGGGTTTGAGCACCTCAGACTGTACAACTGGTGAGAGACCACCAACATCCATGGGGTCAGTGTTGAGGTGGTGGAGGAGTATAAGTAACTGGGGGTGTACTTGGACCACAAATTGGACTGGGGCAGGAATGTGGAAACTGTCTACAGGAAGGGCCAAAGTCGCCTCTATTTTCTGAGCCAGCTGAGGTCCTTCAACATCTGCTGGACGATGCTGAGGATGTTCTACGAGTCTGTGATGGCCGTCATGTTGTTGTCTGCTGGGGCAGCAGCCTGCGGGTGAGGGACGCCAGCACACTCAATAGAATCATCAGGAAAGCCAGCCAAGTTGTGGGAGAGGAACTGGACTCTCTGACGGTGGTGTCTGAGAGGAGGGTGTTGTCCAAAATCAGGACTGTTCTGGACTCTCATCCTCTCCACAACATGCTGACCAACTGCAGGAGCTCGTTCAGCAATAGATTGTTGGTGCCACACTGCGCCACAGAGCGACACAGGAAATCATTCCTGCATGTTGCCATCCAACTGCCGAATTCCACACTTTAAATGTGATACCAGACACTGTTTTTGCACAAATCTTCATACAATCTGCACCTTAACTGACTTTATACCATGGTCTGGGTGAATACTCGATTCTGATTGGCTGCAGGGTGTCCATTAAGTAAGGGATAATGCCCGACGAGGTGTCCATTATCAGAAATTAATGGACGACGCGGAGGCGTGAACCGTCCGACGCGAAGCAGGACACCCTGCAGCCAATCAGAATCGAGTATTCACCCAGACCATGGTATAAAAAGTGATATAGGACACCTATAAAGAAGTTCCGGTCAAATAACCTGATTGTTCTAAATTAATGCGCTGACTCAAACGGTAGTTGGTAACCGTGGCAACAGAAACTCAGAACATACGTTAATATATGTTATTTCAGTTTATTTATCACAACGGCAAGACAGCTGCGGCCGACCGGTTACCTTGGCAACGCGTCACAACGAGCGACATGAAATAGTCCGCTCAGCCGCTTGTTGTGGAAAACTTACGATTTTAACGGTAAAAAACCACATTAACGTATTAATAATTGATTTAATATTTATTTAGTAATATCTTTCGTAAGTGACCATGGTATAAGCGGGATAATGCCCTTCGAGGTGTCCATTATCAGAAATGAATGGACTTCGCGGAAGCAACCGTCCTCCGCTTCGCGTCGGACGGTTCACGCCTCCGCGTCGTCCATTAATTTCTGATAATGGACACCTCGTCGGGCATTATCCCTTACATATGTGTAAATATGTTTCATATATATTTTTTGGTACTTTGATATTTATTTATCTATTAACTTTTATGGTTCTTTTCAATTCTCTTTTTGTTATTATTTTAATCTTATATTTCTAGTTTTATTCTTGGGCGGGAGAGGTGCATGCAACAAAAAAAGAATTTTCCCTCAGGGATAAGTAAAAGTACAGTCGTCTTCAAATGTATTCATACCCTTCCATTAAAGAAAGGGCCAAATTCACAATAGTCACTCAGATAACTAGAAACTAAAAAAGAAATAATAAATGAAAAATTGCTAAATTATCATTTAGTGAAATAAGACATTGCTTTTGAATTGTGGTTGAAAAGAATAGTTTAAAAAAAAAACAAACTGTCCCGTACAAATAAGAGCACTCTGCTGATGAGCAGTGGGCCAAAATCAAAATACCTGTCAACAGGTGCAGAAGTCTGATTGACAGTTACAGAAAACACTTGATTGCCTCAAAGGTTTGTTGAACAAAATATTAGTTTACGGTTCCTATTATGCTTGTTTGCTTTGCTTTTTAAATTTTTTTAAATTAAATATTTCTTTTGAACCACACTTCAAAAGCAATGTCATGATTTTCATTGCTTTTTTATATATTATTACGTTTGTCAGTTTCAACTTATTTCAGTGACAGCTGTCTTTTTCCTTCTTTAATGGGAGGGTATGAATACATTTGAGGACGACTGCATTTCTGATTGCGATTCTGATCACCTCATTACTACTTACCGCCCCCTGCTGGCCGCAGCGAAGCACTGGGTCGCCTTATATGGATACTGGGACAGTTGGAGGGATCGGGATTCAGTCCGTCAGCTGAGTGAGGACCTCACAAACCCCGACAGGACGGTCCAGCCCCACGACTCTACCCGGCGGAGCTTCCAACTTTACACCCAGCGAGCTGACATGGATTAACAGGAGCGGAGGAAGTCAGTTTCAAGTCCAGGGTGAGTTATCCCGAACCCCGGAACGTTAAATGAATCAGCGACGAGAAGCAACACGGAGTGTAAATACAGCTAACTTAAGGAGCTATTAGCTAGTTAGCCGTTAGCTTCCTTGATTCAGACAGAAACAACTTTAAAGTGAAAGGTGGGGATTTGAAGTTGAATTTACAGCTCTGAGATGACTAACAGAAGTGGGCAGAGTTCACAGGGTGAGCTGTCCAAACCTCCGGAGAGATAAATTGAGCTAAATGTAACTTTGAAACATTGAGAAGTTGTTAGCTTGTTTGCTAACTGCTTCGTGTTGAGCTAGCAGTATAGGCTGTTGATACAAAAAAAAAAACAAAAAACAATAATGGTGACTTAATTTATAGAGCACAAGCGTTTCTCGAGTGCTGTGACAACAACATTCAAAATGGGTCAATTGTTTGTTAAATATTGACATATTTGAAGTAAATTATAAAGTCATTTATTTAATACATTATTATTATTTTAAATTTATTAATAATTCAGGTGTAAGAAGATTATTATCAGATCTGTACGCCGCCTTATTTATTTATTTATTTTTAGCGGAAAATAATAAAAACAGTAATAGTTTTGTTTATTTAGGGAAAAAAGCAGCCCAAAATAAATATACATTACAATAGTAGTAAAAGTTTGAGAACAAGGTCTGATGCATACTTTTGAAGTACTCTAAGATACAATTTGGAGATTAATTAACAAATAGTTATCTGATTTTATATATATATATATATATATATGCTGTAATTTGCCTTATTTCCAGAACAGAAATCTGACAGTTGGATTAAGCCATGTTTAAAATTCTTGTTTCATTTTGTTGGCTTATTAAATCCCAAAGTTTTTACAGAGGGGATTTTGCATTTCTCCTTTTAGCACTCTGTAAATCTGAAAATACTGTCAACAGCCAGAACAAATCAATTTTTGTTGTTTTGAATAAACTGTTTCATAAATCAGGCAGTGACAGATATATGAGCTAGCCCTAACTCTCCACATTAAATTCCACTCTGGTCCTGTAGTTTTGAAGACCAGAAGCAGGCAAGGCTCTAAATATTAAGGACAAGGAGTCAGTGGTGGTCACCGGATCCAAAGGGTGGACCCAAAGTCCAGGCACTGCGCTCACAGCTGTTGTGCTGCTTCATGCATCAACCAGGTTATAATTGAGAGGGAAAATAAACAGAAAATAACAACAGTAATTCATCGTCAGGATTCATGAAAGGAGGTTATATTTAGCATATTTTCCACTGTATTCTCATTGGGACACGAATGTCATGGTGACAACCAAATGTTTGGACACAGTTTTGTCTCTTAATAGGACAGTCATTAATTCCATTTTTTGGAGAGATTGTGCAAATAGGTGTCTGTTGCAGTTTTACCCATGACTGACTACACAACAGGTGGATTGCAGGACATACTATACAAACAGAAATAAGAAAACCTGTTTTTCTATTTGGGGAAAAAGGAGGCACTATCTTGTATTTTTATTCCAATTCTGCTGCACACTTTACCGTCCAGTGGTTCAGCTGTGCTGCTCTGTTCTTCACAGCATTGCAGAAATCGGCTCCACTGATCACTTCCTGATGTTTCTGAGCTGATGTCTTGAAAGTGCTGAATCTTCTGACTGAAGGATCCTCAGGAAGTTCTGCAGGCCCAAGCTCCTCTGCGTGTTTTCCTGGCTGCAGGCTGACTTAGCAAGCTGCTGCATTATTAATGTGTGACATGATTTCCATTCAGAGAAGCTGCCAGCTCTGTAACTGGAGCCAACTCAGCCTGCTGCCTCTTACCAGTTTGTTTCCGATGTGGATCAGTGTGTCTGCAGGGCTCTAATGTGAGCAAACAGTTTGTCATTGACCTGGATTCTATCAGCAAATGAACTGATCTTTATTGTGGACCTAATATACAGGGTTTCGCTATAGACTCAATAAGCAATCAACTGGCAGCACTGGCCAAAATGTAAGGGTGCATGATATTGGAAAAAAAACTGACATTACAATATTTTGATTTTCTGTGATATACATTGAAAGAATATAGGAATTTTCACCAGATGACTTGAATACATTTCTTTGTAAACAATTAGTCATTCGAGAATGATTTAAGTGAATTTGTGGGGGAATCATCAAAAATAAAAATAATTTTGAGTTTTGACTTGTACTGTCAAGATTTTTTTGAGTGCAACATGTTTGGTCTAATACTGACAAAGGCATTCAAAATACTTTTCTGGATGACATTCATATTGGTTTAGGAGCTTTCTGATTTTTGATTTTTGATTTTTTTTTACATTCCTGCTGATTTTCAAACCTCCACCGATACAAGACTTCAAATAATCTTCACCTGTCTGCATAGCACCTCCTAGAGGGTAGATATAAATATAATTGTACCCAAATGCCTCTCTTGCTGAACAGCTGCTCAAAATTTACAGATGTTCCCCAAACGCCTTACATGCGGGCTGCAGTAGAAGCTAGCTTGGTGACTGTGCACAGAGAAGCCTCTAGGCTCCACTCAGTTACCACTACCAGTTTGAAAGCAGTGAAATTAGGTGCTCTAATGTCCGATTTACCTTAAACAAAGTGATCAGATTTATTTAATTGTGAGAAACCAAATTATGATTAATATTCCAATTAATCTATAGCCCACAACAGACACTGAAATCGTTTCTTCCTTTTCAAATCTTCAGTGTACCTCTCCTGGTCTTTACTTGCTTCACTGTGCACATGTGGAGCCTGCATGTCAACAAACTCTGTGCCTTGTAAACAAAATTTTTCAAAAAATCACATGTTCCAAGAGCCCTTAAATGAGATTAAATGATGTTCTATCAGAAAGACTTCTCTTGTAGATTAGTCATGGAAAACAAGTACCATGCAAGTTTTCTTTTTGTATCAAGCAACAAAAAAGTTGTAGTTTGATGAGTTTGAGTTAATTTAACTTCCTGCGATGTGACTATTGCGCACATTGCAATTTCGATGCTCAAGTGTTGTACTGTGTAATGAAGTCATGGTCCCTTCAATATAATATGTTAAACAATGAGAAAAGTGTAAATATCACGGCAGTTAAGCAATGCTTACATCTGTGTGGTTAATAATAAACTGCCTTTCATAATTTTTAAAGTAGTTTCATCTGTATTTCCAAAGTTAAGTCCAGAAAGAAACATAATGATTGAAGATCTGCTCAATGCTGGAAAGAAATGTTTGTGCCTACACAAAAACTAATTTAATCAGCAGTGTTTGTGCTTAGGGTTAGTGAAAAATGTTTAAGTGTTTATAATTGTGTACATACATTTGGTTTCATCTACATTCAGATACCTGAGCTTTTCTTTTAGCAGAATACTGAAAGATGCACAGCAGTATAATTTATGTCAAGGACACTATCAATTATTTACCGAAAAAATTATACTTTACATATAACTAAATATGAACTTAGTAATAACCTCTTGTTCTTTCCTTAGCCCCTTCCCTGCCTGCGGTGGCCAGGCGGTGTCATGGCATCCCGGCTGCTGGACCGTCTGAAGCGCTCGCTGTTTAAAGATGGCCAGGGGGCGGGGCCGGAGCCGGAGCAGGAAGAAGGTGGCGGACAGGAAAAGGAGGGGTTTAACGAAGACCATTGGGAGGCAGAGCTGGAGGAGGAGGAGGAGTGCGTTACTGATCGGCTCGGAGGGACGCTGTGCTTCGACAGCGGAGGAGGAGGAGGGCTGGAGGATGGGGCAGAGGGCGAGGGGTCGGGCCTGGACAGCGACTCTGACTTCCTGGGAGAGTCGATGGAGGAGGGAATCAGCAGCACAGGTGATTTGCTCATTGAAATTTGCGGGCCTCATTCGTGTTCACACTCTGATCCTGAGCTTCTTATCTGTTAGCACAGGTTTGCTTGTGCAAGTGGTAAAGTCAAATTCGGCAAACGATCTTAACTTCACAGTTGTAAATTGCACGATAACTTCATAAATGACAGTCTTTCTGATCGTTTTACGCCCAGAAAAGCATTGGTTTGTTCGGACATTTTACAACCAGTGAACTGTCAGCAAAATCCGGTCGCTGTTGGAGTTCAGGCTTTATTGAAGTCATGCATGCAGAACCTGAAATTACAAGCAAAAGCAAAAGAACTGGCTTTGCATTATGACATACAGTGGAGTTTCACTAAAAAAAAAAAAAAGTCAGAAACTTTTTAAATGTGAATATTTTCTGGTTTCTTCCCTTCTCTACAGTAGTAAATTGAATATCTATGGTTGTGGACAAACAAGACATTTAAGAACAATATCTTGGTCTCTGGGAAACACTGATTGACATTATTCACAATTTTCTGACATATTATGAACCAAACAACTAATCGATTCTCCCAGAAAACAACAAATCAACCAATTTTTGGACTGTGAGGATTTTCTTGTCAGCTACCAGACTGTATAAGACTCCCAATAAATTTACCACTGATGTCTATCATTCATACAAATAAATATGCTTTGATTTATTCTTATTTTTTTTTAAACCACATATCAGTCTGATTAGGAATAATCAGATAGATGTCAATCACTGGAGAAAGGGTGAGTTTCTGTAGCTGATTGATACAAGTGGTTTGGACTGCCTGTGGATTTTATTTGTGCCAGAAAGAAAATTCTAAAAGCAAGAAAAGGAATGTAACAAATTTTTCTGATTAACTTGTGTGGGAATTTTTCTGTAGACCTTCTAGCGGTAGGCTATAATAATAAAAGAAAGACTGATTTATGGACTAAAACATACTCGTTGACCTTCTAAGATTTGCTGTAAGCCTACTTATTGGTTTGAAATGTGCTTTTATTGTGTTCTTTACTTGCTCCTAAAACAGTTTAACACTGCCAGGTCTGCATCTGTGAGAATAAGGCTTTAATTGTTTTACAGGCTATAAGGATGCACATTCATTTAACAGAATACACCATTGTAACTACAGTCAGATCTACCCATGCCTTAATGATGGAGCAGTGACATTGATCAGCCTGTTAACGTACGCTTTCACACTGCTTTTTTTTGTTTGTTTGTTTGTTTGTTTGTTTTGGACAGCTTTCTGTCCTGCTTTGGCTGCAGGAGCTGTGTTGCTTTTAGCCTGTACTGTGTTTTCTCATTGACTAAGATATATGAGAGACAACACATATTTTCTAATTATCGGTTCCCGAAATTCCACATTAGTACCCCTCTGTCAAATAGAGACCTGTAGCTAACAATGATAGTTTTCTTAAATAGTCAGTACTTGTTTTGCCTATAAAATGTCAGACAACAGTATAAAACAAACAAAAAAATCCCTATTTGCCTTTGGATGTCTTTTTTTGTCTTGCAAGCATTCCAAAACCCAAAGATGCCTTGCTGTGTTTAGTGATTTTTATTAGAAAAGCAGGAACCATCAAATGTTTAGTGTTTTTGCTTTGAGCCAAATGACTTTAATTTATTTGACTGTCAATAGTTGCTGAATTCTGTAGACTGAGTAAACAACACATTTCTATTAATCATTCGTTTGTACAGTTGACAAGATTTACATTTAGGCGCTAAACACTATCTGCTCACCTGACCACTTCTCTCACCTGTCCTGTGTAGACATCAGTCCAGTGGGCGTGTCTCCACTGGGCCCCTCCCCCTCCTCACTGCTGACTCGACAGCTTCAGGAAAGCTGGAGGAGCCTGCGTGGACTCGGAGGAGGAGGTAGTCCCGTCCTCTTCATTGGACGGCAGATGGACAACTTGCTGTTTGAGGTGACCGATGCCAGTGTGGTGCAGGACAGCTCCTCAAAATATGTGGTGAGAATCAGTTGGCTTTCAGACTGGCTGCCCTCCGCATTGGTTCTGCAGTAAACATTAAGTTAAAATCAGCAGCCTCCATTAGGTTGTTGTTGTTGTTGGTTTAGGCTAATGATATCTTGTTTAGTAAGCAAGGTTATTTATATGGCACCTTAACATACACAGAGGTCAAAGTGATTTACAGGCCATGGTAAAATGCAAAATAAAGTAGAACAAAATTTGATTAAATAAATTAAATTGTAGACAGTACAGACGAGGTTAGTATACTGAAGACAAATATTTATAGAATTATTAAAATTAACTAAAACAGCATAAAAAGAATAAGAACAATAAAAACAATATAAACAGATCACATATACAAAAAGATTTCTACATTAATTTGTTTAAGCTATCTTGTTTCGACCAATGTTGTCTTATTTGTGCTAATGTAGTGGCTATATTGTTGTTTTTAGGCTAATGTTATCTTGTTTAGGCTAACTTAGTGGCTACATTGTCTAGAATAACAAGCAGTGAGTACGTTGTTTTGTTTAAGCTATTGTTATCTTGTTTAAAATATTAGTTTAGCCTAAAGAAATCTTGCTTAGCCGAACTTAACAGTACCACTTCCTCTTTTAGGCCAATGTAGCAGCTGTATTATCTAATTTTAGCTAAAGATATCTTGTTTAGTTTAAGAGATTTTTGTTTCGGCTAACAAAATTCTGTTAAGGCTAATTTTGCCTCTACAGTATCTTGTTTAAGTTATTACTATACTGTTTAGACTAACGAAGGGCTAAGGTTATCTTGCTTCGGCTAAAGATATCTTGTCTAAGCTAAAGATTCCTTGTTCAGGCCAAGGAAAGCTTGTTTAACCTAACTTAGGGTTGATGTTGTCTTCTTTAGTCTAATGTAATATTACTTATATCATGTTTAGAGTAGGTATAACTTGTTTAAACGAACGTATCAGCAATATTGTTTAACTTCACATTTCAACAGACTTCAATCTGCTCTTAATTTCCAGGGTAGTTGCACAAATACATTCTACATAAACAAGACATTTAGAAAGTCTATGCATTCATCTATATATGTTTAAACTCCAGACTTTCTATAAATGTGCAGAAAGTCTCAAGGCCTTAAGTACAATGATTTAAAGACTGATTTTGGGTAAGATAGATTGCACAGAAAAGGAATCAGCTTGTTCTTGTTTCTGCAGCTATACACCATCCATGTAATCCAGTCGGGGGGTAGTGATAAGACTCCAGCAATCATCACCCGACGGTACTCGGACTTTCAGCGGCTTCATGCCACTTTGCGTCGTAACCATGGAGATCAGATGGAACGTGTCTGTTTCCCACGTGAGTAGGGATTATGTAGTGAACCAGGAAACCTCAGGAAAAATGTCACTGTTTAGTTCCCTAAAACACGACAATGTATGCTTTTCATCTTTGTAGGAAAAAAGCTGCGCAGAAACTTCACAGCGGAGACAATCGCTAAGCGTAGCCGGGCATTTGAACAGTACCTGTCTCATCTGTGTTCCCTGTCCACCCTGAGGGATGCACTCTGTGTCCGCCAGTTCTTCTACCTAAGTGACCTGCAGACTGGACAGCTGCTCATCAGGTAACTCATAAACTGCTGTCTATCCCTCAAACTCTTCCAAGCATCATGTAGGAAAATAAATCTGAATGACTCTGAACTAATCTAGATGCTGTTCTTAAATGAATAAAGGTTCCAATTTACTCACATTTAGAACATTATGTATGAGGTTCCTTTAGATTGAATGAAATGAAGTTAATACAAGAACCCATGATTCAGTTAATATCAAAGTATATCATGTCTTTATTAAAAACCTACATAAACTCTAGGGATGGCACAAGAACCAATGGTTTAATAATAAATCAAAGCCAAACTATACTTCTGTAGCCAGTGAAGGTACTGTGGAGGCAGCAGGTTCTGGAGATCCTAAATAAAAACAACACGTGCAGCTACAGTCGCAAAAAAAACCAAAACAGAGCAAAAGTCGTGTGCAGTGTTTGAGTCGATGATGCAGGACGAGTTATAGATGACTAAACGTCAGAGTGTAAACACTTTAAACTGATCTAGGCAGCTCAGAGACACACATCTGGATCTGCACACAAAATTCAAGCTGAGACAGTTTCTGGTGCAACCTAAAGTTCACATAAATTACAATATAATTTTTAGGAAAAAAAACAATATTACTAGAATAACTAAAATATGTAAAAGAAAAGAAACTACTCGACTGGGTATTAGAAAATGACCTGGTTTTGGTAGGTTGAGGGTCGTAATCAGTACAAACGCAGAGTCACTGAGGAAAACAGGGAGGGAATTTACCGAGGCAAAAAAAGTTGTTTTTCTTGTTTTCTTTATTCTCATTGTCTCAGTAGTTGTTTGCGTCACTAATCTCATAGGTTAGTAGAAGGTATCAAACAATAAAATGTGGTGATGTTTTACTCAAAGGTCCCATATGGTGAAAAACTATTTCACTGTGTACTGCTGTCCCTCTAACCCTCCGAGGTAACTTCCCAGCATTGCAAGACAGTAAGAACTGTACCTAGTTTCCAAATAGAAACTGAGAAATCACTAGTCTTTGACGGTCAGAAATGATGGGAACTTAAAAGGTGATTTGAAACTAGCTGGGTAGCTTACTATGTTCCCATGTTGTGTTTCAGTAAAACCAAAACTCAGCCACTGTTTAAATCTGTTTGCATCTCTCCTGCTCACTGTGCTCATAAATATTGCATTTTAATATAGCCTCATTCCCAGTAAAGCTTATCTCATTTAGATGTTTTCTTGTTTCTGTTGTCAGACAATGGAACAAATATGAAATGACTTTGAATGACTAAAAATGCAGCCCATTAAGACTACATGTTAACCAGCAGTCCTTTCTAGGCTACTGCTCTTCAGCGCTAAACTACTGATTTTATAAGTACAGTGTTATCTGACAAACCTGCCATACACATGAGTTAAAAATGCTGTAAATTCAAAGATATTTCCATGTAATGCCTCAGAAAGAAAGTTAGACGCAACAGAAAGTCCTGGGGCGTCATTTATCGTCAGTGCGTAGAAAAGGTTCTAAATTGTGTCTTTTGAATGAAATTTAGAATGTGTGTTTGTACAAAAAAATCTGTATATCAAACATGTGTATGTGGGTTGTTCGCACATCAGTAAGTCATCAGTGTTGACAAATCCCACTTGTTCTTAACCAATATGCTCGTGCACTTTCGGGATCATTTGCCTTCAGAAACGCCTCCTGTTAGCCATATATGGTAACAGCATGCCTCTTTATTAAACAAGTGAATATTTTTTTCCCCTCACTCGCAAAGAAGGCGAAAAGAGGAACTTTTCGGAAACCGAAATTGAGGTACTTGTCAACGAGGTTGAAGCTAACCAGAATGTATTATTTGGTGCATTAAATGTGGGGATAACCAACAAAAGAACAAATGCTGCATGGGACAAGATAACCACTGCAATTAATTCTGTTGGGTCAGAGGAGAGATCGCTGGCAGAAATGAATAAGAAAGTGGTTTGATGTTAAGCTAGGTGCCAAAAAAAGCGTCACAGCCCATAAACGAGAAATGACTACAACTGCAGATGGACAAATTAATATTCAACATTCACCCAGTGGATAACCTTGATCTCCTGTAGATGAGATGTTTTAATAACCATACTAAGTCCAGCAAAAACATTTCACACTTTGTAACACTCACCAAAAAGGTGACCGTCTTCAACAGCTCCTGCTTGGAGACGCACCCACAGAGGTGTTCTGCTCAGTGAATGAGTCATGCGTTCCTCCAGGCCACTGGGCAACAATGTTTGATAGCGACAAATGTATATCACAAATTAATTGTACGTTGATTGAATGAAACTCTTTTCAAGATTCAAGATTCAAGAGTTTTATTGTCATATGCACAGCAAAACAGGTAGTTGTACTACACAATGAAATTCTTACTCTGTTCAATCCCCCGAAAAAGACGACACATTAAAAATAAATAAAACAAGCCAATAAGAACAGCAGTAAACAAGTAAAAGCAACAGCATAACATAATTAATTTTGTTTAGTGTTGGTGCTTTGATTGCGATGTGGATGCAGTCTGTGGCTCCACTTTTTGTTTGTGAATCCAGCGATGGCGTGAAGTCCCCGTTTGATTGCAGCTTGTTGTTGATCTCTGTAAGGGAGCTGGATGTAGGCTGGGGCCAGAGGAATGATGGCATCCAGCACTGCCGGCACGATCCTGCTCAGTGATGGCTGGGAAATGCTGAATATGTCTCCTCACACTGGAATCGTTGGTCAAAAATCCCTTAATGTTTTCTATTTGTAGTTTCACTATTGTACCGCTAGATTATGTGCGTAAGCATGGTCAGAGTTGTGGTTATATTTCCGCATATTCCTAAGTATAAGTACAAGTTGATAAATTCCGTACTTTGCATGGGAATGTTTGTATGCACTCATTACGGACACATCTGTGGGTACGCACTGATAATAAATGAGGTCTCAAATATTCATTCATGTCTGTGTCAGCTGCTGTGTTGTCAACTATTTTTCTCTGCGCTGTCAATCGCAGATGCGGAGCGAGTCTCCTTCCTGAACAGGGTGGAGATAAAAGCAGATCAGCATTTTAAGCTACAAACACTGAAACAGCCCATTTAGGACACAACTAAAACCAGGGGTTATGTAGTCATGTAAAATTAGCCATCTTTGGGATGTTTTGAGCTGAACAAGCTACAAGACACCTACTGGGGACATACAAAACTTTCATAAATTTGTTGTAAAGGGACACAATGTGGGACCTTTAGGTTGCAACTACAGTGTTTATTGCCACAAGCGCAACTTGGCCCACCAGTAAGGGAGGTAATAATATTTGCAAAAATGCATCCCTGACACCTGTTCCCTCAGTTATACACCAACTGTATGTAACTGTTGAACCTAATTAACAGATATCTGTAGACTTTGATACCTACCTTTGATACCTTTCTGTGTTTTTTTCATTGTCTTGCACAGCAACCCCCAAAAATGAGTGTAAATAATGTGCTGGACAAAAATGCATTATTGCAATGCAATGTAATGGTGAAAAAGGAAATCTGAAGTTACACAACTTAAACAGCTGGTAATTTTTGGATGAAACATTCTTAACTGTTTGGTTTGATCTTTCTTTTTGTTTGTTTGTTCTTGCATTTCTGCATTAGTTTTTTCATGAATAACTTTACAGGTTTTGTAGAATACAAGCTTCATGGCTTTAGCTTTGCTAGTTTGGTTGTTTCAGAGTTGTTTTGTTTCGTTGAGGGTGGGACGTTACCAGGAAGCCTTGGGTCCGCTGCTCAACGCCAAGAGACTACAGCACAAACTTGGCTGGGCAAGTTACTATGACAGCCAGACCCCTCCTCCAGCCTCCCCCCATTGGTTCTTCACCCTGGTGGGGCTGTCATGCTGCTTCCAGGAGGTGGACCAGCTGGAGGAGGCTCGGGATCACTGTGACCACGCCCTCCGTGTTCTGACCCCTGTTGAGACTGAGGATAAGCCCCTCCCACCCAATGACAACCCCCTCCCTCTGGAGAATAAGCCCCTCCCACAGACTGACACATCACCCTTGCATCTGCCTATCGACCGGCCCCACCCACTGCTATTGCCATTGCTACGTTCGGTGGTTCGGCTGTCGTGGCAGACAGGAAGAGACAAGCGTCAGTGGGAGGAGCTTATGCAGCACCTGGAGGAGCAGAGGGCGGGGCTAGACAATCATCCAACTGTCAAAGAGTTTTTAGTCAAACACAACCTGCAGGAGACAGAGGGGGAAGGCTAGAACCTTGCCCGCACTGCACAATGCAATCACCGTGGTACTACATGAATTGTGGTCAGCTGCAGGAAAAACACATCTGAGAATTTCAAAAAGTCTAAATATTTTGAGAAGGCACAGTCATAATGTTGTGAGGAGCAGTCACAATATTATATTACAATAAAATGTGAATATTTATTAATGGTTTATTTGAAAGGGACTGATACAATATACCTAGATAAACTGAAAACAGCTATCTGATGAAAGTAATTTAGTATTTATCTATTAATGCTAATTTGTATAACCAGCCTCTACCATTTGGTAGTGCTATCATAGTTTTAAAATGTTGTGTATTTTCAAGAAAGCTTAAAATATTTTGAGAAAAAAAGTTGAAACAATATCAGTCTTTAAAGAACAAAGTGAAATTATTCTTGGAAAAATACAAAAAAGGAAAAAGACACAAAAATTCTTTAAAAAAAAAATTATAAGTTTCGTGCATGGATTTAATTCAAGATTAAAAATAAATAAATCTACAATAGTGGTCATATTTCAGGAATGCACTTATAATATTTTCAGAGATGAGTAGCATTATTTAAAAAAATAAAATAAAATAAATCCTGCGTACCAGAAAAATCTTAGGATTACAAGTAAAAATGATATTATTGCAAAGACAGGCAACAGTACTACAAGAACAAATGATATGGAGAAAAAAAATGGTTAAAAATATATTTGAAGAACTTTGGCACGGCAGCATGAGGAAAGTGTTGCCTGGTGGATTGAGTTGCTTACTGGTTGCACCTTTTCACACACCCTGACTGTTAGCTGTACACTTATTATGGTAACGGTAACGTTAACAGTTGCTTATTTTCTCAAAATATATTCTTTTAAAATCTCAGATTTCTTTCTTAACACTGGCTGTTAACATTCTGTGTACCTAATGAGGCATTCAATCTTAATTTTGAAGCCTTAAACTAGTTCTGGGGTGTTTGTAGCTGTGACACATCAGATCAGGGGCTTTTCTGTTTTCATTCCAAAGTGAGAATTGCGCCAGTCATCACAAGATTCCTCAAAAGATGATCATTTCACCGTATTCAGTGAACTGCTATTCTTTTAAGAGCTGCTGATCAACAAACATTTGTCAAGGAAGGACATTTTTTATACATAATTTCCCCCCTCAGAAACATTACTAAATCCAAGTAAAGAAGAAAGTTCTAAAACATTTTAGTACATAAAATGCAATGAAATCTGTTTTAAAAAACACAAGATTGCAAGCACAGAGCTAAAATTACAGATTAAAAACACAACATTCAAGTAACTGGATTTTTCACAGCAGTAGGGCAGTCAAACTAATTTTTCAGAAGCCATTTTCACTCTGATCATGGCGAGGCACATTTAAGCAGTTTTTCAGTTCCTCTAAGTTTCTACTACAAGTTTACAGTGCAAAATAATGGCAGTGTCTATAAGAGAGCCTGGAGGTTGTTAAAAAGGAAGTTATCATGAAGCAAGTTGAACATAGACCCAGTTATCTGCTGCTTTTAAGTTTCAAATATCTTAAAAGGCATTTTAGCTGGAAACCTTTTGCACACTGCCCTCACAAAGTCTCACGGTGGATTCAAGCTGCTCTAAGGAGTTTTAACTTACAGTGGTACTTACCACAATGCACTGTATTAATTAGCTCTAATAAATACTTCCTGCGGACTGACAGGAGCAACGTTAAAGCCACACTCTACAGGCAAAGTCATGTTTTCTTTTTTTCATACATTGGTCAGTTTTGGCATTTGGGGGCATTTTGCTTATACACATTTAGATGTTTAGTTTTTTTGTTTTCATCCTTGCAAGTTTTAAACCCCAGATTTTTGTAAATATGCACGTGCAAATATAAAGTATTAACTCCAAGCAGTTTCTGAGCTATGGGCTCATTTTTCATTGTGATAAAAAGTCCTGCATCTCTATAGAAACTGAGCAACCATGGCTAGAAGTAGAGATGTTTTTTTTTTTTCTTTTTTCTGTGCAGTTTGACACAGTTATAATGCTATAAATCATATAACAGAAAAGTTTCTTTGGTTATTGATTTTACAAAAATTGAAAAAACCTCAACATCAACATTGTTCCAAGTGTCCACAGTTGTTACCAATGCTGGAAAATGGGGGCTCCTCATGCTGTAGATATTTAACTAAAACTATATTTTACTCTGAACTCTGCTGAATGTGTCTTCCAACAATTTGCTGACACTTTGCCCCTCTGTAAACTGTTTTTAAGCAATGCTACATTTATTTTATTGATCCAGTTTGTTTTATTTTGTCAGTGTCCCTTGTCGTCTCCTCTCTGCTCTGTATAAACACAGCCTGCAGTCCGCCTAAAAACTCACAGAATTGTAGCTGAGTCAGACATGGCCTCTTGGTTTCTCTGGGAAAACACTTTTTACAGAATCCATTTAGTGCTGTTTCTGCTGGATAGATGGAGGGATTTTGGCTTCTTCTTTTCCAAAAAACCCCCAAAACAAAACGAACCCCTTTCTTTCAACGTGGGGTTTTTAGCTTCAGGGGTTTAAGGATAAGTGGCTATGGCTGACACATTAGGGTAAAAACGTTGCCTTTTTTTCAGTAAAGTACATATTTGGTAGCTAAAATTTATTATATGGACACTATAGTTTTGTCACACTCAACATCGTTAGCTGGATGCGTTTCCTTTCTTAAACACTTGTAAAGCTCATATTTTAAGTATGTAGCAGCTCTCTGTGTGACAAAGTAAATGAAACAGGCTGAACTGGCCATGATTATGTTCCAGATATCTCACTTTCAGTTTAAGATCAAAAATAATTTGGTTGTACTATTTTAAAACATGAATCTACATCCTGACTGTTTTTACATGCAACTGATTGTTTAAAAGAAAACTTTGTCTGTTGTCAGTATGTATTATACAGCAGGTAAGGAGACATTCACTCATGACATCAGCACACTAACATCAGGTTCAAGGTAAAACCTGCTGCTTCTTTCAGTGATAAGTGTTTTTACACGGATATGGTTACTATGGAGACCTGTGGTATTAATGATTCTGGCGACCTATCATGGACGACTAGATATGAGATAAAAATAGATGTGATTTACATCAGCAGGAAAAGTGTGGAGCCCATCTGATTGGTGGAGAGTTTTTAGAGGAAATAATCAGAACCACAAGGAGGTTTTATTTTTGAAAACAAGTGATAAATAAGGGACGAAACAAAGTCGAATGACTTTGACAGGGAAAATGGTAAAAGCATTGGATTTACATGTCATGCACACGTACAGATTTAAGCACTAATCCTAGTAGACAAGCTGCTAATTGTTCACATCATGACTCCAGTTTGGACCATGGAAATGCTGCATGAGTAATCAAACGCACTATATAAGTACAATATTATGCAACGTAGTTGTCATGTTGTATTCAGCCTTACTGTAATGTCTTTTCATTTCTTGCATGTTCTTTGATTCCTGTTTACAGTCACCCTGCAGTACTTTTAGCTTTGTTATCTGGTAAATGTATGTATCTGTGTTGCACTTTATGCCTTTCATTCACCCTTTTTAAACTCACTTACAGATAAGGGAGTCAAACTCTGAGATTCAAGGATGAGCCACTCTACCTCCTTGACTTGCTTTAGATGCATGCAGAGACTGAGAGGCCACCGCAGAGGACAAATACATATTTTCTAGAATCGAAATATGAAGTTTTAAAGAAAATGTTTAAAGTCAGATCGTGAATTTTTTTTTTTTTTTTTTTTTTTTTTTTTTTTACAGCAGCCTCAATTCTCTTTCATGATAAACAGTTCAACCCTGTCTCCTGGAAATTATGTAGCTGACTAATTTACATCAGCTAGTACAGTTAGATGGAGCTGTAATTGCAGCCCACTTCCATTTTCTTTTAACACAGTGATTAAACATTGTTAAATCATTTGACAGTGAAATATGTTAATACAGAACCGATTGACGGCACTTTATTGTTCTGCCACAATATCTGCTTGTAGTAAATTTAATATTAACAAACTTTTCATGGTTCTATTCAAGCTTTGGGTTACATTGGACATGAAACTCAATATGAAGTTGTAGCATAATTTACAAGATAGATTCCCACTCTAAAAACCCAAAACGTAGAATATGACGTCACTGGTTGTGTTGGCTTGGAATTCCTGCATTTACAGACATTAGTCTTACACTGACGACACTGACAATCATTGATTCAGCAGAAAATAAGGAACACCAAAGTAAAGAGCTATGCAAGGCAGGGTCTCTTATGTGTTGTGGTGGATGCATCAATAAAATTTAATTGAGTCAAAAACCAAAAAAAAGATTGTCCACTTTCGTACCTTTCAAGCTTCATCGTTAGCTAGCTGTACTGAAACAAGACAACCTTCCAGTTAGCCGTAATTCTAGTGTTTGTAGCGAGCAGAAGGACTATGTGGCAGATCGGACATACATGTGGTTCAAGGGACCAGCAAGTTGGAAATCTGTACTTGAGTTTTCATTTATAAGGCTGGGTGTACGGACCATCCACCACCTAGCTGAAAAGTAGCTTCGTCTTCTCGCATATTTCAAGTTTCTCTCGTTGGAGACTCTTGTCTTCCTGAGCCAACTTTCAACCTAACCAACCCAGTGACATGATATGGTGGCGAGCCAGAGCACACGTTTGAAGCACATTTTGTCATTTAACATGCAGTATTTTTATAGCTAAAATTTTCACAGCATCAATTCCAACACATAATTCTGTACAAAGCTTTTTAAATGAACTTTGTTTTATGTTCAGACTAAAGTAGTGGTCTGCTTAATAAAGAAACAGTTCACAGTTACCTAAAACATAGTGTATTTATTAACAGTTACTTAAAACCACCTTTCCTGAAAATAAGAAATGTTTGTGCTTTTGTGGCCTACAAAGCCAATAAATATAACATTCATTCATTTGAAAACCAACCACATAATCCAGCCAATGACTGCTTGCACTTTAATGCAGAAGGGGAAAAGATCATATTGAGGAAGCAGAGTTGAACAATTACAAGTAAATCAATCAACCAGAATAGAAATAGTGGTTATATTAGACATATTTTCCTCTCAACTGCGACCATACCGAGGATTAAGCAGTGTATAGATAATGGATGGGTGGATATTTTCCTTTCATGTGGCAACTCTGAGCCTCTGCACCTCTCCGATGTTGTATCCGTGGCGCTTAAATTCTCCAGCTGCTTGGAAATAAAAGTGACAATAATGTGATTCTTGATAATCTTTCACCAACTCCACCAAGTTGTAACCTAGCAGTGATCCCAGCAGCACTGCAGCTTAAGACACAGAAGTCAACACTGATTTTGTTTTCAAGTAATCACAGTCAGTTCACAGTATGTGGAATATTTTACATTCTTAAGCTGCTGAGCAAAGTTTTCTCAC